AGTCTCTCAAGCAGGTGCGCGCCGATTCCAGCCAGCCCACCATTCAGCAACAAACCATTCCTAACGCAAGAGATAAAAACAGTATACCGCATCCATCCCCCGAGCGCAGGAAAGAACATTCTCGTCCTTTGCGGTCCCGGGAATAATGGTGAGCACTCGATCCCTACCACCTACCACCTACCACCTACCACCTTCACCAACGCCAGCGCCATAGCCCATCCCCATCCCCATCCCCATTCCCATCTTATCCCCCAATGACCCAGTCCCATACAACACCATCACGGACCTAACCACCTCACCCAAACCAGGCGGCGACGGCCTCGTAGCCGCGCGCCACCTCGCGCATTTCGGCTACAACCCAACAATCTACTACCCGAAGGAAGGTAAAAACGAGCTCTACCAGGTAAGTCAAACTTCAATCCCATCCATCCCCTATCCCCTACCCCTCACCCCCAACCCAACCGCAACCTAAAGTTAACCCCCACAAGCGCCTCAAAACCCAACTCCACAACCTCTCCATCCCGATCCTGAACGACACGCACGACCTGCCGGAAGCCATCAAAACCTCGCACCTGCTAGTGGACGCGATCTTCGGATTCAGCTTCGGGGGGCCGCTACGCGACCCGTTCCCGGAGATCATCAGCCAGATGGAAGCGGCGTCGATCCCGGTGCTGAGCGTGGACGCGCCCAGCTCGTGGGACATCGAGAGCGGACCGCCGCGGGAGGGACCGGGAGCGAAGTTCATGCCGGAGGCGTTGATCAGTCTGACGGCGCCGAAGCCGTGCGTGAAGTTCTACCGCGGGAGGCATTTTGTGGGCGGGAGGTTTCTGACGCGGGGTATTGCGGAGAAGTATGGGTTGGATGTGCCGAATTATCAGGGGGTAGATCAGGTGTTGGAGGTTGGGGTGGATGCGGAGGGGAGGTTGTAGATTGAGGAGGGGAGGGGAAGGTGTCTGAGGATCGATGAGTAAGGGAGGGGGGGGGGGAGCTTTCATCAGTATAGTACAAAGGGAGGGTCTGTGTGCCCTGGATTTAAGGGTCGTGGGATGAAAATGAATCTACAAGCGGTCTGAGGGTGCTATCTACCTTCCATAGGGGCAGTCCAACCTTGTGTATTCCTCTCTAATCAAAGGACATGACGGTTACTTAGTCAATAGTTAATTTCATGCAGGTGTGCATCGCTATCGTTAACCAATATGTATAATCCCTATGGATATAGAATATCAAGAACTCTCTATCGACTCAGAGAGATACTCTTCAGCCAAGTGCTCGCCCTACGAAAGCGACTCCTTGATCTCACCAATGATGCCCTTGGTTCTCGGCTCCTTCCCTAGTCCAGAGCTCGAGATGGTGTTGAGAAGGGCTTCCACATCGTATACCTCCTTTGCCGCGGCCTTGACCTCCTCCCCCAGTGCCTTGACCAGTGTTCCTAATGCGACAAGGCTACGGTAGACTGCCTCGGAGTCCTTCTCGCCCTGAAGCATCTGCGTAAGCTCTGCAAGAAGCACCAATCCCTTCTCCGACGACTCAGGAGCCGCTTCGTTGCCTCCAGAGGTCAAGTAGACGGCGACATTGATGTAGAGGGTCGCAGCAGCGATTGTAAGGTTTCGATTGGGCGTCGATCCGCTGGCGGACAAAGCAGACTTGATGGCAGGCAAAATGTCATCGAATCGGCTTATGACCAGGTTGCGACCAGCTTCCGTTTCGAACAGATTCGCCAGCATTCTAACCGATAGCATTGCATTGTTCACGTTCAATGGAGAGTTGAAGATTCCACTTGAAAGTAGCCCTGTGATAAGATCCTTCCCATCGTAGTCCGCACTAGCGACCGCAGGAGTGGCGGCGGCGAGTAAGCGGAGGAGATCCAAACCGGGGAGCCTGCTCGAAGTAGGCCACAGCGTTGCGACCTTATATAATAAGACAACACCGGTACCTGCGATGGGCGATTCATTCAAGCTCGAGGATTCTAGATGCGTGCATAGAGAAACCACGGTCTCGAGCTCGGATGGACTTAATGACAATTCTTTCGATCCAGATGACACAAGTTGCTCGTTCAGCTCTTGCAACTTCTTAGCAATTACCTTGAGGTTGGCGGACTTGATCGACAGATACTGCTTCTGAGGGAGGACCTTGGGGCGGGGCTCCGGGGCCGGCGGAGGCTGGGTAGCTTGCGATTCTTGTCCGTCTCCAGGACGGTAGCGTCTTTCTGTTCCCCAAGGGTCGGCACCAGCAGGTGTCGGGCCTTGGCTAGGTTGGCCGAGGCTGGCACCCTGGCTGTTCTGAACGATAAACTGCGCGACTTGATCAAGGTAGTTCATAGACAATTCGTTGTCTTGAATGAACTTGGTTGCGGCCTCATATGGGTTTTGAGAGACGTTGTATGGTAGTTTGAGAGGAGGCTTGCCGTCCTCAACGTCGACATCGAAGACATAGTCGTAATCCTGACCCAAGTACTCAATCTTCCTTCCACTGCTGGCAGCGGAGTCGACCACTGTGCCTACCGCAATCCATTCGCGAGATGCCATCGACCACGTATGGGCAGTAATGCTACCATCAGTCTCACGAATCATCTGTACCTGGCCGTCCTTAGTGCCTGATTTCTGTTTGAGAAACTCAACACCGGGAAGTTGCTCCTTGTTGATCTTGCCGACTTGCTGTTCCGGAATCGCGGACTCTTTGACCGTCTTTTCGAACTGTTGAAGTACTTCAGCACTTGCGATCCGGTCCTCGCTTCTGGTGAAGACGCGAGTGACCCGATCACTGGCACCTGTGACGATGTCCCCAGTCTCCTGGCAAGCAGCAACACTCCAAACCGAGATGGCGGGATGTGTTATCGTTTGCACGCACTGCATGCCATTCCACACTCTGACCGTCCGGTCTTCGCCAGAGCTGACCAACTCACCAGAAGGCAAGGAAGCCAACGAGTAAATAAAACTTTCGTGACCATGAAGCTCTCCGACAAGTTGTCCTTGTATGGTGTGAAGTCGAATGACTCCATCGTTGCTTGCTGAAGCGAAGTGCGCGCCGGAAGGGTGAGAAGGAGGAAGCTTGCACAGCGCTCGCACGACATCTTGAGAATCCTTGATAGTTTTGAGAAGTTTTCCAGAGGTATTAAAGATACGGATGATTTTATCCGCGCAGCCTAATGATTTGTTAGTACTGAGATGACGTGATCGTAGAACAACATGGCACCTACCGGTGATGATTGTGTCTTTATCGTAGGCAAGCACCGTCCAAACGCTTCCCTGATGGCCGTCCAAGACATGATCACATTCCCATTTACCTACTCGCCAGAGTCGGGCCGTGGAGTCCCAGCTTCCACTTACGACCCATCCGCCTTCGTGTGAGACGTCCAGCGCACACACATTGTGTGCATGGCCTAGGAGCATGGCGTCCGCATTGTCATCCGCAGCTTTGCCGGGTTGCCTCGCCTCGATGATTGTATCTTGTCCGCCAGAGAGGACCAAGCCATCGGGAAAGTCGGGTGTGGGGGGATAATATGCAAGGGCGTTGATGAAGGCTGTCCCGTGAGAAGTGATGTTGTAGTCATACGTCGGAGGCGGGGTAGACACTAGTCTCCATAGTCGCACTGTTGCATCTCGAGATGCTGAGAAGATGGCATTCGGATGAGGAAAGGCCACAGCGCGAACCTATGATACAGCGAAAGAAAAATAAAATGATCAGTTGTCGGGAATTGCCAAATGGGGGGCAGGGTGGATGTGGGCAAAGTCAGCGTCAATAGCCGGGAGGGGGGAGTTCTTACATCATCGCCGTGGCCCTCCAGAGAAGCGGAGATCTTGAACTCAGGCATACATGAACTGATGGCCTAGACAAGGGGAGTGAAGTGAAAGAGCTTGGTGGGGGGAGATGGAGGGACTGAGGGAGGTGTTTTGAATGAGAAGGATGACAACGATAAGAATGCAAAGATCAACCTCCAGAGCACCCTGGTGGTTCCTGGTTGAGGTAACAGTCAGTAGGCAGTACCTGGGAGCTGTTGCTTAGGGAGGCCATGGTACCTCCGCGGGCCATCACGTGGGCGGTGGCTCAGCTGGCTGGTGTGGGCGGGAAGAAGTTGCTAGAATCGGAGCGGTGGTTGATAAGCTAAATAGGAGGAGTCATGGCTGTGTATGTGTAGGGGATTGGTAGATAGGTAACTACGAAAGGTTTACAATGACATATCTAAAGATTGATAAGACTCCCTCAATGGTGGACCACTGAAGGACTGAGTAGAACTGGTATGCTGAGTATAACGCAGGTGCTGAATACGAGTTACAGTACCTCAATATCATTGTACAGTATAGGCATAGTAGCACCTCATGATTGATGACCATTGAAGAAGACTTGCACTGAATGTATGTACCGTATAAAATGTTGATTCAAGATCCTCATCGATATGTTGAGTAAGTATACAGTCTTACAGTGGCTGAGATGCATAGATTAGAGTCTCTCACGTGTAGGTAATCTAAGCCCAACTAGGACTAGCTCGGGGATGGAAGGGGAATTAATTGTAAGGCGATCTGCGAATATCAAAAAAAGAGCACATCATCCCGTTGATTTGCGTCGCTTTCCTCTCTTCCGGAACCCCCTGCTGGGCTCAAATTTCCCCTCGACTGTGTGTTGTAGAACCGAGTTGTCATTTATCATCTTTTTCAACCCTTCTCTGTACAGCCCTGCAGTGTGCGATTGTACAGTTCGACCTCATCCCCTCAACTTCTCCAACCCATTCTTAGAGCTTCCCACTCCACCCCCCACTATTTGGGCCAATTGATGACTTGACGAGATCGACGATTTTCCTTTTGTATTTCTACATCCACTCATCTCCCTCATCTTTTGCTTAAATCCGTGATCTCGGTTCTCCGATTGTATCCCTGTTCAAACAGCTTGTATATCTGCTGTTGAAGACAATCATTGCTTGACGTTAACGGCCGCCCGCAACTGATCGCGACATCAAATCATCCAAAGATCTTGTTATACAGAAACCCCAGATAGAAAAGCTCAAAATGGCCGCTGGTGAGTCTCGAGGTCTTCATCTCTCTCTTTGCACCGTTGCTCATGACTAACACCTCATATATAGATATTCCCAAAGTTGTGCCATTGACATGCCATGGACATTCCCGTCCTGTGCCGCACATCAACTTCTCCTCCACAGTTGAGGATGACCAGTACTACCTCATCTCCGCATGCAAAGGTACGCTACGCTGCGCCGCCGCCGCGGACCCTCATGAAGGTTGGCACGCTAATTCACCCGCACAGATAACAATCCCATGCTGCGCGATGGTATTACTGGTGACTGGTTCGTTCAACTTCCACATCTAGAACCAAAGCCCTTGACCCTCAGACTAATAATCATCAATTCAGGATTGGAACCTTCCTGGGTCATAAAGGCGCAGTCTGGCAGGCACGTCTCTCCACTGACGCCACCATCGCCGCAACTGCCGCGGCCGACTTCTCCGCGTAGGTTCCCAACCCGCGCAACCGTACGAAGCCAGCCAGCTCTGGAACTAACCTTCACCCCACAGCAAAGTATGGGATACTCACACGGGCGAATGCCTGCACACGCTCCAGCACTCGCACATTTGCCGAGCCGTAGCATTCCCCATGCAGCCCTCGCCCCGCGTCCTAGCCACGGGCGGTTACGAGAAGAAGCTGCGGATTTTCGACCTCACGCGCAGCAGTAGCAGCAGCGGCGGCGGCGGTGGCAGCAACGGCTCGTCGCCAACGCTCGCCACGGGCCCCTCCACCCCCGCCGAGGGCACGCAGCCATCCACCGTGACGAGCTACGAGATCGGACCCGGCGTGCACGGCGGCACCATCAAATCCATCGTCTGGAACCAAGACTACAACATCCTCACCACGGCAGCGGAGGACCGCAAGATCCGGTGGTGGGACCTCCGCTCCCGCCACCCTGTGGTCGAGTACACGGTCAACGGGCCCATCGGCAGCTGCGAACTCAACACCCTGGCCGTGCGGCCCAACGACGCGGGCATCCTGACCGTCGCCGCCGGCAAGTCCGTCTACCTCTTCGACGGCCTCAACCCCGGCCGCCTCCTCAAGAAGATGGACTTCCGATACGAGGTCGCCAGCGCGGCCGTCAACAACGAAACCAGTCGCCTGGTCACCGGCAGTGCCGATGATACTTGGGCTCGGGTGTATGACCTGCTCACCGGAGAAGAACTCGGTACGTGACTGCCTTCACCCTTGTCCCTTCTCCTTGTTATTTCATCCAACCTCCTGAAGAAAAGTCCAATCCTAACCTAGTACCCCCATTCAGAAGTCCAAAAAGGCCACCACGGCCCCATCTGGTCCGTAAGCTTCTCGCCCGATGGCAAGCTCTACGGCACCGGAAGCGAAGATGGAACCATCAAACTCTGGAAAGCATGCAGGGAACCCTACGGTCTTTGGCGGTGATGAACCCCCAACCCACTCGCCCCCAATAAATCTAGTCTTGGCAGTGTCTAGTATTTTCTAGTTCTAGATTCCTAGCCTAGCCTTTTACCTAGACGGCGGGTTTTCTGAGCAAACCGGACAAGAGAAAAAAGCAAGTCGATATGCTAGCAAGCAGACAAGGGGGCATGATGCTGGTAACATGATCATCAACATCAGCAGCAGCAGCAGCAGCAGCATGCAGCATCATGATCAAGGACTCTCTCGTCTTTACAAGACCATGGTCAATGGGTGATTGGGCAACATGGGAAAGAGGAAGATATGATATTACCTTATCTTCACAGACAACGCACGCACACACACGCTTACACATACACAAAGAGACACACACGGCACACCTTTCACGAGGAAGGAAAGCTTTCGCTTTTTTGAAAAGTGGGAGGGGGGTTTGTCCACATACCATTAGTTGTCTTGTCTTGTCTTGCCTAGAACTATTATATCCTAGTTGCGGCTCTCACTGAAAATAACCATGGATCTACCTATTTACTTCTGGATAGAGTAGCGTTTCGTCAACTGGATCATGGAGTAGTAGGGTTTCAATCTTTCTAGATGATAATTCGGTTTCTTGGAATCGTGTCCGGTAAAAAAACACCAAGATCCTTTCTTCCAATTCAATACCACAAAAACATCGAGATCATCACTCAACGCCTTCCCTTGCACAACCTAACCCTGTAAACTCGCAGATTTGTTTTCCAAAGTTGACGCTTTACTCGATCATGTCAATGTCATCGTCTCCAGCTGCCGCCGCAGAGGCAGGAGCAATCTGCTGCGGCTCATCCGGAACCGTCAGGTTGTCGGCCGCGCCAGCACCGGCGTTCGCCGCACCACCCCAGTAGTCGTCCATCTCGGCGTCAAGTTCCTCCTGGGTCTTGCGGGGTCGACCGTTGGCCGTGCGACGGCCCTCCCCACCGCGGGTATCGCGCTCGCCCTGCTGACGTCTACCACCACCACCACCGCCACCATTGGCAGGTCTGCGGGCGGGAGATCTTTGGCCAGGAACGTATCTGTCGATGTGCTCGGGAGGCGGCTTGGTGACGTCGCTGCGGCGGTAACCACCACCACCGGCACCACCAGCGCCACGACGACCGCGACGACGCCGGGAGTTGCCGTCAGGGCTACCGCTTCTGCTGCCAGGGCTCAGACTGCGAGCGTTGCGATCGCGGGGGCGCTCCACACGGTCGAATAGACTACCCTTGGGACGTTCCACGTTGTCAAAAGGGTTGCGGTCCCGTCTTCCGCCGCTGCCACCACTGCCAATGAGTGTCAACCGGATCGGCTGACCCTTAGCGTTGGCACCGTCAAATTCGCTAATGGCTGTGCGCGCGTCGCTGACACGGTTGTAGGTTACAAAGGCAACGCCCTCAGAGCGGCCGGCCCGGTCGTAGACGAGGGAAACATTGCTGATAGGTCCGATGCGGGTGAAAAGATCCTTTAGAGGAGAGACAGAAGCTCGAATTAGACATGCACAGGCGAGGGCGAAAAAATGTCTGCAAAGGCATCTTACCTCCAGGTCAGTCTCGTTGATATCATAGTGGATATTCTCGACACGAAGCTTGGCTCCGGTAGATGCGCTATCGTCAAAGGTCAATCGGAGTGCATGCTATAATGATAATGTGGATCATACTGTTCGTGCTCGGGAGAGTAACGGTCACCGCGCGGGCGTCGAGAGGCACGGGACGGGCGGGCTGAAGGATTTGAGTTAAGAATTGCTTTCGGCCATGTAACACTAGCATGTCGTGTCGATTGCTGAGATAGTTGCAGGAGGAAGAGGAGGAGGGTTAAGGACTAGTCGAAGGTCAAAACGCACCATCTCTGTCGTCTTCGTATTTGTCATGAACCCAATCGCTACAGATGTGAAGACAAAAGGTTAGCAAACAGGTTACCCTGGTCAGTTGATGGTGGCCGTCGCAGCCAGGGGAAGGGGTGCAGTTACAGATCCAAGTCGGGGCGATCTTCTCTGTAAGACTGTTGTGGTCGAAATAGAGAGACAAGGTCAGCTCGAAAGTCACAGTATATACTCGTGTAAACACAGCTCCATCATCTTTTTTTTCTGCAGCGATGCATGGCCGTGTGTCTGTGCGAGACGGTGCTACGAGGCCAGCGGATATTGCTTATCATGATTCGCGAGTAGAGTTCGGAAGGAGACAAGGAGGAAGGACCTATTCAGTCATGTCGTTAGGAAGGGGTCCAGATTGCGAGGCGTTGGCCGGAGAGCCATGAAGCAACACGGTCATACCTTTCTTACGCCATCACGGCGACGGCCTTGAGAAGGACGGCCTTGAGGAGGACGGCGACCACGATCCTGAGGTTGCTGTTTTTGCTATAGATTGGGCAATAATCCGTTAGCAGAGTGCCAGATGAAGTGGACAGTGCTCCAGGCCAGAGTCCGTATGGTGGTGAAGTTGATTCCGGGGAACTCACAGGGCGCTCGGCGATGATCTCGTCGAGACTACGATCCATTCTGAAAGCTGTCGGAGACAAAAGGGTCTTCTGCGAGAGGCGAAAAGAAGAGTGCACTGATGAAATGCAGGGAATAACAGCGCCTGCACTGCGGAACGATTGAGGATTCAAGTCAATGGAGGATGAATAAGAGAACTTGGGAAGGCGAAGAAGGGACGGCGGAAGCTGCAGCCCGGGATTGGATCCAGGCCGGGACGTTTGTCCACACATGCCAGACCGCCCGGACCAGAACCCCCCTGTGCGTACACGTGATCTTCCACCTTTCATAAGTGCAGGATTGCAACAATTACATTCTTTCTATTCACGTTCTTGAGAAACACTACTTCTACCCACACAGAGAAAGAATCGTACATATCTGGAATGACAACGAACCTTGAAGAGGACCCTCTTTTTTGTGCTCCAGATAACACCAATCGCAACCTTTAACAGCAATGTCCGGCAGATGATATGGATATGGAAAAAGGAAAGCGAAACAGAGGAACACCGGATGTGCAATGCAGCCAATCATGCAATAAAAGAAAAAGGAGAGGGGATGATGGAAGAATGGTCAAGTAGTCATTAGCTTTCACCATTGGCAGGTGTGTTCGATTGGGTCTCATTGTACTCCATCATCTTGCCCATGAAGCTGATGTAGTCATATTTGGGGAGATCGCGATCCTCCTGCAAGTCGGGGCCTTGATGTGGTGGCATTGTCTGTACAAGGTGATCAATGACCTCGTCGGGGATAAGGGAGTGTCGCAAATCAATTTCGGTCACGTATGGCTGCGGATCATTAGTCTCATCTGAACTATACTAGGAGAGGAGTCACGAAGGGGAATTAGTAGTACATACCTTGCCATCTGCGACTTCTCGGAAACTCTGCAAGACCTGCTCGGCGGAATTCTGATCTTCCACCACGCTGACCATGAAATGGATGAATTGCTCGAAGCTGACACCGGCATTTTGAGCTAACCGAGCTGGGCCACATGTCTCAAGGTAAACCTGATGCATCTCCTCCTCGTCGTACACAAGTCCCAGACTTGCAAGTGCAGCGGAGAACTCGAGCTCAAGAAGTGTATTCGATGAGTCGCGATCGAAATGTCTAAAGACCGACTCGAACTCCTCCAACTGGATGGGGGTCAGGTTGGTCATGTTGCGGGCGACGAGTTGGTTGTCGAGGAAAGCCAGCTTCTTGGAGATGCTCGATTTGACCAAACTCAACTCGTAGGAAAGCTCATCTAGGGTGTATGTCGTCCAATCGTTTTCTTCAATGTTGGCTTCCGCACACTGTTCGTCCAAAGCCGCGATAGTATCTAGGAATGCGTCGAGGGGAGGAAGGTTATCATTGAGTCTCTTGACATGGGCTAGTTGGTCTTCTACATCGCCATCAAGACCAGATATAGCCAGGGACAGCGTCTTAAGTGTCAATGCGAAGTCGTTTGCCTTGTCCGCGAACGAACGACGGAGCGCATTCTTGATATCTCGGATCGTTTCGTTGATGAGTTGGCTACGCTCGTGCTCGTCGCGGGTCAAACCCTCCCATTGCTCATCGCAAACCTCCAGACTAAGCTCAGCTGGAGGTTCGTATGGTTTGAGACGATAAGTGCTGAGTTTAGTCTTGATGTTTCCCAGAAGAGCCGCAAGATCCGACTTTTCGGCCACCCATTGGCGCTTCTGGTTTCTCTTGTACAGAGAGAATTGGTGAGCCTGCTCTTTCGCATCCTTGTACGTACCCTCGAAGGACGCTGTCTTCCACGCTTCGCGTTGCGCGGCAATCAACCGCAGCAGCTCCTTCATCCTCCGCTCGTAAGAGTTCTGCATCTCCCAGGCACCGTGCATGTTGTTGATGAACTTCTCGACCCGACGTCCGGCATTCTCAACCCGTTCCAATTGCGAGAAGGCGTGGAACCAGTAGGCGATATACGTCATGAGCGACTTTTCGTCCGGTTTCGCAACATCGCAAACGTCGTCAACATCAAGCAGATCAGGGATCCCGATTTCATTGGAAGCAATGTCAAAAGCGAGCTTCATGTTTCCGCGGTGGTCCTTCTTATCCAGGGCATCGAAGTCGATCAGATCCGGGCGGTGGATGTCCAAAAGCGCACAGAAGGCCAACCCATCGTTCCAGCTGGTAGAGAAATCACGGACTTGCACCCCTTCGTAGCAAGCTGTCTTGCGCTGACACCACAGAAGGAGACCCGCCTTTGCGGTCATACCCTCCGCATTGATGTCACTGATAGTGAATCGAAGAATCAAAGTCCAGATCAGACCCAGCACGATCTTTCTATTGCCGTCCACAACATCTTCGGCGCCGATATTGGTCATCTGAATCCTCCGTCCTTTGATGAAGTCAAGACTCTTGTTGACATTTTCGAATTTCTGCACACGGAGCTTAGGCTTCGAAGCGTAGCGGCCGAGCGATTCTCCGCCGAGAATTTCGAGTAGATGGATAAGGATGACCTAAAGAGATTCCACAAGAAACGGTGTCAACAATACGACTCTCCTCTGATTTTCTAGTGGTGCTGGTTTCGGGGGCTCTCCGCGCGGCATCGGGATAGGTATAGATCGGTAAACTCACGCCATCGGAGAGGTCGACGACTAGATCATCGATAAAGATTCTTCGGACTTTCAACTTGTCGTTGAGCCTAGGGGAAGGTGTGGTGTCAGTTCATGCGACTTCGGTGGGCTGGGTAGAGTGCAAGTAAACAAAGGAACCCAGTCAGTCGAGGTAGATAGCAGTGCCCGATCTGAAGTTGGTGGGGTATCTCCCAAACGTGCTATGCCACCCAACAGCTTTGAACAGGGGATCAACACACCATTTTGTAAAAGTCTTCTGCTGTACATTAATCCAGTGTTTCTCAACCGCCAACATGGTGAATGCTGTAGAGGGAAGTAATCATCCAGGGCGTGGGCGGAGAAGGGCGGTTTTTTTGCAGATGAGAAGCACGGACTGAGCGAGCGGCGGCTGTTGCTTTCTGTTGCCGGTGGACGGAGACTCGGGCAGATGGGGCGCTTCTGACAATGCAAGTGACTTAAATGGAAGAGGCAAGGCAGGATCTTCAGGCCCGCAGCACTAAAAGATTAGAAGTGTGCGTTGTAACACACGATTCGCCAGTGGTTCGTTTTGTCGGTAGTTGGAGTGTGGTTGGGATGCAGGAGGTTTAAAGAGTAAAAGAGTAAAAGAATCAGGCAGCCCGTTGGATGGGGGAAAACAAAAAAGAGAGATAGGACGTTAGGTACAATCAGAACAGATGGAGTTACAGCTCCGAGTACTCGGAAGCAGATAAAGGGGCTGACTGGCAGGTGTTGCTTTGGTGGCATTCAATGTCAACCTTCTCTCTTCGCCCCTCTCTTCTCCCCTCTTTCTTTCTCCCCCTCTTCTTTCACCCCCACAGCAACCAGTGGGTTGAAAAGTAACCTGGAACCAGTCGGCTGCTACCGGTTGAACCAGACATTCTACAGTACCGTACATGATTTTGAGTGTATCACAGCCAGGTCAGGTAGCATCAGGCAGATCCAGGGGAATAAGATACTAAAGCCTACATAGGTAAGTACAGTGGACAATTCAACATCTACTGGGCAAATCCTCATGACTCGCCATTGACAGCTCTTAATTAATCATTCTGGTTGGTTGCCGGCAAATTCGACATTCTTCATGTTTCTGTTTTTAGCATCACAACACTTTACGGCGCCAGATTTGATTACCTACCTACCTACCTACCAACCGACTCTCTGTCCCATCCAGATTTCTCCAATTTGTCCAATAGATAGGTTGGTTGGGCGCAGATCAAAAGAAAGTACCTCTTCATAAAGTACTGTGGACATACTCTTTGTTCATCCGCGCATCCATATATCTACTCATACAGGATCCTACACAGTACATTCTCAGCATCGGGTTTCTGGCAATGGCTTTGTCCGAAACGCTGATCGGAATCTTCGCTCTTGCCGACCCACCCCTAGTCAACGACTTGTTCCACTCGAGAGGGCTGGATTCTGCGGCCTGATCCTCTTTGAGCTGTCTTGGGATGTTTATTTTCCATTGCTAGTGCATGCCTTATGGGTTTCAGAGGGTGCGGCAATGTAGATCATCCCTGGAGCATTGTCTACCTACACCTGATCATATAAGTCACTAACTACGGCCCAAAGACGGCTACCATTACCGTGAACTGCGTTGATCTTTAGACGTCGATGAGCGTAGAGGCAATGGAGCCCTTTGAGGGTGTCAATTGCCTTGCCATTCAGACTCACCCTCATATAAAAGTCGCCCACTATAGCCCACTACGCCCTGCCATGATTCATAGGCTCTTCCCAATCGGAATCTGACTTTACTGTGCCAAAACATTGTCTGAGTATCGCAACCGCACGATAGGCAAGGTACTGTACCGCAGAGGTTGCTCTCCTTGGCTTCAGATATTCTGTGGCTGCAAGAGAGGGATGGGGAAGGCCAAAAAGTCGATATATCACCTAAGTCCTAAGCAAGTGTGGTCCAGTCGAGGGAGACCGTTGAAGGTTTGTCAACGGGAGTACTCTTCCTGCGATGTAGCATGCCATTGAGGCAGAATAATGCACCACTCGAATAATGAAGCGAAGGATGTGGATGGGTCGGCTGGAGTGAGGATGATACCATCGCAGAAACGGGGCTAGCGCCCGCCCGGCGTGATGATATCATCCGGGTCGAATGGGGCCCGCGGCGGAAAACATTCACTCGCCTCCATACAGCTCTTTCTTTCTCTTCCATCTCGTTCTCTCACCCCCCTTTTGGACGCTTATCTGATTCATAATCATCCCAAGATAACATAAGAACGTCTAGCATTCACAGTTCTCTCGAATTGCTTTTCCCACGGAAAATACCTCGAAGCAACCCTCACAACAATGTCACCCAAATACACCATCACTGATCTCCTGCCCCTCCCCAATTCCTCCGTCCAGATACCCCGCCTCGGCTTCGGCGTCTACCGTTCTCACGCCGACAAATGCGTCACCTCCACCGCCCACGCCCTGGAGGCCGGGTACCGACACATTGACACCGCGCAGTTCTACGGTAACGAGAAGGAGGTCGGCGACGCTCTGCGCGCCTCGGGCCTGGCCCGCAGCGACGTGTTCGTCACCACCAAGATCCTCAGCCCCGCCGGGTCGCCCGAGGCCACCTACGAGAAACTGGTGGCCAGCGTGGAGAAGATCGGAGGCAAGGATGGATACGTCGATCTGTTCTTGATCCACAGCTCCAAGTCCGGTTCGGCCGGTCGGAAGGAGCTGTGGCAGGCCCTGGAGCGGCTGCTGGAGGAGGGCAAGACCAAGGCCATCGGCGTCAGCAATTTTGGCGTGAAGCACATCGAGGAGTTGAAGTCATTTGCCAAAGTGTGGCCGCCGCACGTCAACCAGATTGAGGTGAGTCGCGATTCCCTGGGGGTTGCAGTGCGCAGGGGTACTTTGACAGAAACAAAAGCACTCTTTACTGACGCGAGACATTCTCTTACACAGCTCCACCCCTGGTGTCAACAGCGCGAGATCGATGCCTACTGCAAGAAGAACGGGATTATCGTCGAATCCTATTGCCCGATTGTGCGCAACTACAAGGCCAACGATCCCACGCTAGTCGAGCTGGCTCAGAAGTACAACAAGTCCACCCAGCAGGTGTTGATCCGCTACGCACTGCAGAAGGAATGGGTTCCTCTACCCAAGTCAGAGACCCCCGAACGCATCGCTTCGAACGCCGATGTGTTCGATTTCGAGATCAGCAAGGAGGATATGAACGTCCTGGATGGTCTCGACCAGGGCAGCGGCGGTGCCATCGTTGAGGCCGTGGAGAACGAGTAGATTTGCAGTATATATCATGATGAATACCCGTGCCTAGGCTTAGAGACCCTCTGCAAGATAATAACTGTTACGATTTGTTACTGATGTTACCCATGATCTCCCACCTGCATGATGAAAGCTTTTAATCGATCGAGAAGTAGGCTGCGCAGGATGCATCATGCGAAATCGCACGGGCGCCGAATTTAATAGAGATCACAAAGACTGGCAGCCGTATGCTGATCGGGCCCCGAGACTTAAAAGGCTGCTGATCTGCGGCACGGAAAGACACGGCCACCAGACCAGGGTAGCAAGCGGAGGTCATGCCTCGAGATCGGATTTAGATTGGCTCTGGGGACAGCAGTCGGATTTGCAAGAGAGGGGGTCCATAGAGAGAATGACTAGTGAAACAGGTTTCCAGCCTGGTTCGGCGAAAGGGAAGCATCCGTCAGTCTTCAACGTGATGGTGACAATGAGGGGGGGCTGTCATGCAAGCAAGGCTACTAGGATCGCTGCATCTGCGCTTCAAACAGGCCACTGAGCAGCCTGCACGAAGGGCACCAAACTCTAAACCGGACACGCGCGTGGAGTACATAGTAGGGAGTGGGCGGTTACTTAGCCCATTTGGACTGGACTGTACCTATGCGCAGCATTGTTTGTTGCTAGCACGCCGCCAGGATGATCGCTGCTCAAAGCATCGGAGAAGGACGGCAGCATGAGACAAACCAACCTGGACACTGCTGGACACTGCTATTGGCGGTGGGCACGACTTTGAATGTAGTGTACCTCGGACGGTACCATGGCCCATGCTAACGCTGAGAGCAGCGTGTCCAGGCTCAGCACAACAGGAGTGATAGCATAACATGAGCTGATATTGGAACCCCCATGCTTGGCAATGAGGGATACTCGTCCATGCGCATATAATGGCCCAGTGCTAGAAAATGGAATACTGTACTCCGAGTTTCCAAATTTTAAACTTGAATAGTCACCTAGTGGGTGTGTTTGTCCGGCTTAGTACCGTTTGCATGAGAGCACCGGGTGACTTGTAGGCCAAACGGCATGATGCGCAGGCTCTGCGCGATTTTGATTGTAGACGGGCAGCAAACAGTAGTTCCGTAGTTATTCAGTCCGAAAGTGTGTCGGGAGAGGGTTCAAGGAGGAGCTCTGTTTACAATTGATATGGTCAAAACCATACATTCATGTACATCATGGGTTGATAGAATCTCATGGTTGTACTGAAGTGATTCTGTGGTCTTCCATCCGGGGCCGGGAAAACTATTCCTGGATGGGGTAAGCGGAGGGGCATCCGAGCGTTACCCAAAGCAGGCTGGTTGTGGATTGTTTGGAAGAGGCTATGATCTCACTCCCCGCTTCAACGCCTGCTTTCCGCCATGGCAATTGTCATTCATCCAGAAGAAAAACATTGGTGTGCCTTGAATTAGTACGACGTAGTGGGGGAGAGGCTGGTAAACATTGAAAAGACTCACCCGCTTACGATGTACTCTTCCCCCTTCCCTTATTTAAACAATGTAGATGCCCCGCGTGTTGTTTGTTCTTAGCTTTTTGTTTTCAGGTAGTCAGCCACCACTCTAAACGGTCTCCCCGCCTTTTCACTTCCCCCTCCATTCCATCTTCACCCTCCACTTTCTAAGCTTCATAAAAGACTTTACATATTTCTACATCGACCCTCACTGCCCATCATGCCTCAGGTTAGTGCTACCCCGCTGCCATGGACAGTTGTCATGTTGCTCATTTGCTGATCATATCGCGCTGCATGCAGATCACCGAAATCTTCTTCGATTGCGACAACACCCTCGTCCTCTCGGAGGAATTGGCCTTTGAAGCCTGCGCCGACCTCGCCAATGAGATCCTGGAGAAGCACAACATCTCGGACCGGTACACCGGTGACCAGCTCATCCAGGACTTCGTCGGTCAGAACTTCCGCGGCATGATGGTCTCCCTGCAGGCCAAGTACAAGTTCGAGATGACCAAGGAGGAGCTGGAGGGTTACGTGAAGGAGGAGGAGAACCGCGTGATTGCCAAGCTGGAAGCCAAGGCCGAGCCCTGCGTCGGGGTCATGCCCGAGCTGGAGAAGCTGTCCGAGTCCAAGAAGTATGGTCTCGCCGTGGTGTCGTCGTCCGCGCTGCGTCGTGTCAAGGCCTCCATCAAGAAGGTCGGACAGGACAAGTTCTTCGAAGAGGATGCGGTGTACAGCGCGGCCACTTCTCTCCCCACCCCGACTTCCAAGCCCGATCCCGCCATCTACCTGCACGCTCTCAAGGAGCGAAACAAGAAGCCCGGGGAGGTCGTCGCTATTGAGGACAGCAAGTCGGGCTCCCTGAGCGCCATCCGCGCCGGCATCCCAGTCATTGGCTATGTTGGCAGCTACAACGGTGATTCGAAGCAGCAGGAGATGGCCAAGGTTCTCACTGACCTTGGTGTCAAGGTGATCATGAAGGATTGGAGTGAGTTTGAGGACTGCTTGGCTCAGATTGAGCGTGCCTAGACGAATTGCTGTTGCGATTCACTCGGTATCCAGTATAATCCTGGGCCTTGACATGATGTTATGATAGCGAAAGCATTGTATTTTCATATTCCCCCTTTACGAATTCAACCATGCTTTCTTCAGTTCTTGGCCGACGAAAGGCTTGTCGCAGCAAATGAGGTGTTTGTTCTCTGTCTTATGGACGGTGATGGTCGGTTTTCGTGCCACAGCATGTTCCCTCTACAGTTATACAGAGGTTCGATAGACTTGAGCCCATCGGTAATACAGAGAAGACTTGTCCCAGACACGCAGTGTTCTTACAGTTCTTGTATTGCTCGAGCCACCTCTGAGTTACCGCTATCTCCCTCTACCTCGTAATCACGCTTCTTCCATCTAACACATACATCTTCGCCTCCAATTTAGATAATAATCAAAAGTGTTATACAATTCTCCCGAACTTGATTACAACTGCTATATAGGCCCATCAGTCACACAGCCATGGCTCGCATCGCTAACAAGTTTGGCATATTTAGCCAAGGTGCCTTTCGCTGCTCTCGGTTTCGGCGCCTTCCACTCCTTCCTCCTCCGCTCCAACTCCTCCGATGGGATCTCCAGGTCAACCACTTTCTTCTCCGCATCGATCACAATACGATCGCCATCTTTGACGAGCGCAATCGGACCCCCTTCCATCGCTTCTGGCACGACATGCCCGATCAGAAATCCGTGGCTACCGCCCGAAAACCTCCCATCGGTGAGTAAGGCAACGTCTTGACCCAAGCCTGCGCCCATGATAGCAGAGCTAGGCTTGAGCATCTCTGGCATGCCAGGCCCGCCCTTGGGCCCCTCATACCGAATGATGACCACGGTTTTCTCACCCTTCTTGATCTCTCCACGCTCCAATGCCTCAATGAACGCATCTTCGTAGTCAAAGCACCTGGCTGCACCCTCGAACCGCAGCCCTTCTTTGCCGGTAATCTTGCCCACCGACCCGCCGGGTGCGAGCGATCCTCGCAGGATCTGCAGATGGCCCGTAGGCTTGATGGGATTGCTGAGCGGACGAATGATCGGCTGATCGGACGGGAAATCCGGCCAGGCATTGACGTTCTCGCGCATCGTCTTGCCTGTCACCGTGATCCCCTCGCCGTCAATAAGCCCTTCCTTCAGCAATAACTTGAGCAGGGCCGGCGTGCCACCGATCTTGTACAAGTCGTGCATCACATATTGGCCCGAAGGTTTCAAGTCGGCCAGGAAGGGCGTCTTGTCCGAGACGGCTTGGAAGTCGTCGATGGTCAACTTGATGCCCACGGCATCCGCCATTGCAATAAGATGAAGGACGGCATTCGTGCTCCCGCCGAGGATATTCACCACGATCATGGCATTCTCAAAGGCCTGTCGCGTCATGATATCCCGGGGCCGAATGTCCTCCTTGAGCAGGTTCCGGATCGTCTCACCCACCCCTTCACACTCCGCCCGCTTCCGTGGGTCTACCGCTGGCGTGCTACTACTGCCTGGCACCGTCATACCCAGCGTCTCGATCGCCGTGGCCAGCGTATTCGCCGTATACATGCCCCCGCACGCCCCAGCCCCGGGACACGCATTCCGGATGATGTCCATCCGCTGCGTCTCATCGATCTGCCCCGTGATGTACTGCCCGTAGGATTGAAACGCACTGACCAAATCCAGCTTCTGGCCTCCCGCACTGCACCCGGGCTTGATGCTCCCGCCATACACCATCAGACTGGGCCGGTTGACCCGCCCCATGGCCATGAGCACGCCCGGCATGTTCTTGTCGCACCCCGGCAGCGAGATGTTGGCGTCGTACCACTGCGCGTGCATCACCGTCTCGATCCCGTCCGCGATAATCTCCCGGCTCTGCAGGCTGTACCGCATCCCCGCGGTGCCCATGCTGATGCCATCCGAGGCGCCGATGGAGTTAAAGCGCATGGGGACCAGGTTGGCGCGGGCGACGGAGTCCCGCACGAGCTCAGACAGCGAGAGGAGGTGCATGTTGCAGGGATTCCCCTCGAACCAGACGGACGAGATGCCCACCTGCGGCTTGTGCATGTCATCGGGTGTGAGGCCGGTCGCGTAGAGCATGGCTTGGGAGGCGCCTTGGGATTTCGGCTGGGTGATCTTCGACGATTCGCGGTTCAGGTTGTGGTTGTCATGGTGGTGAGTTCGTGAGGAGGAGAAGGCACGCCGTCTGGTGGAATCCGAAGCAGATGTCAGCTCATGCGCAGGTCAGGGTGCAGCAAAAGGGTGGGATGGGTCGGTGGGACAGACGAGTATACAGGCTTTGAGCGTGTTGATGAAGGTATACACCGCCCGTAAGCCGTCGCTGTGCCGCGGCCGGCTTTGAAAATAGCCATCGTCATGTTAAGCCTGCAAGCTGTGTTGATTATGCTACGATGCTAGATGTCTCAGTTCCCCACGACATCGTCGAGTCCATCCAGGCTTTTATACCCTCTCATCCTGCTACAGGGATCTATACTCCCATCCCAACAATCTCGGCCTTCGATGCGATATACTTCAGTCCTCTCGGACTGTTGTCCGAATATCATGATTGCAATAGTGGGTACTGGACAGTACAACAGATCCCAGGCTCAGCTGGTACCCTGATTAGGGGGGTCAAGGTATGGAACCGCTCCGTTCGGACAGAAGTCCAATCCAATCAGCATCCCAGCATTACAACCCAAAGCACATTTATTTTTGTTCTTGGACTAATATCCATGATCTAGAAGCAGAATTTCGGCCTTGTTTCCGAATCCTTTTACTGCTTTGGGTCACGGTCGATTATTGCATTCAGGAATGCGGTATTGGATGAGATGTACTATGGGGTACTACCAGGTAGGAAATAAGCATTCCAGGATCGAAGGGATCCACTCGGTCCGGTCGGAGTTGGGTCCTCGCTCCCCGGGTAAGCACTGCATTATTGGATGCTAGCATACCTGAACTCAGTCTGCACTGTGAGTACTCCCAAGATACGCGCATTATTGGTCAATCATGATGCTTTATGAGCTTCAGTTTTTGTACAATTAATTCTCATGTTAGGGAAGACTGCATTAGAATTGTAGGTCCAACCACAAGTCCGGAGTTCTGATCCCGCATACATATTTTCCAAGTCTCCCGCACCTATGCATCCACTTTGGTCCTTTGACCTTATAGTCTACAAAGATGTTCGAGTCCAAGTGTTCCCTCTTCTGGCTTTTATGGAAGGCAGCTAATGATAGAAAAGCGAATTCTCCGCCACAGAATCAAGTGACGAGTGAACGATCCGAGCACGAATGCTTTTACTGGAAAACGCACCCTGCGACAACCTCACGATGCTATACATAGCATCTGGAGTGTAACTACGAGCAGACCCCACGCGGATTTCCCGCTGACTCCACACGCAGGCTATCATCTACACCGGCTATCTACTAGTCACCCAGCCGAAAACCCTAGAGCAGGAAATGGATTGGAATCGTTTCTGTTCCGGCCCTATCTCCGGCATCCGGATGGCATCCGGGAACACCAAGCTTCGGAAGACCGGATCGACGGAGCTTAGAGATACCGAATGTGCTGACGGAGAACTTTCTCATGACTGATCAGCCAGCATCTTCGATTCCCGGATCATGAGATGCTGCTTTGTGAGGACTGCAGGCTCTAAGTCCGTTGTTAACTCCATGGTTAACCCCGTCGGGGTGTGATGGGCAGTATCAACTCGGATTTACCCCAGAGTACTCACTATAAGTATTCTGGAATACCGAAGCATGGATATGAGAAGAGACAATTAACTATACTTGTTGCTGTCCGTCAAGCCTAGCTTTCCTGCTCTTGACACATCGACACAGAAGCAGCAATGGCCCAGAAGACCGCAATTCAGTATCAGCTCCTCCAGAAAGGAGGCTCCTTTGTCCAAGCCCTAGCGCCACATCCCACCCCAGGCCCGGAAGAAGTCTGTGTCCGAACTAAAGCCGTGGCCCTGAACCCACTGGACGTCAAGAACCGCGACCACGGCACTCTGATCCCCACCTGGCCCACAGTCCTCGGAATCGACGCCGCCGGCATCGTGGACGCAGTCGGTGCATCAGTTCAGGGCCTCCGGCCCGGCGACGAGGTCCTCGTCCCCTGCACGCCCGGGGGTCTGAGCGGCGGAGCATTCCAGGAGGTCGTGACCGTGGGCGCCGCGTTAGTGGCCAAGAAGCCTGCTGGCCTCACCTTTGAAGAAGCGGCCTCGCTTCCGTAAGGCTTTCCCTCATGTTGGACAGATTGCTGAGATATGTGAGACAAGTGTACCGCTGACTGACTCTTGGGGGCGCGCGCGCCCGAGCGAGCATCTAGTCTATGCTACTTGACCGCTGCCGCGGCTGTCAGTGTTGGCCTGCGCGTCCCGCTCCCTCACCTGGACCCCGAGGGCACACCAAGCTCTCTGCGCTCGATCCTGGTCCTCGGGGCCAGTTCGGCGACGGGCGCGGCGGCCGTCCAGCTGCTTCGGACGGCGCTGCCGTCGGCAACCATCTTGACGACCAGCGCGGCTTCGCATCATGCGCGACTGGAGGCGCTGGGGGCCACGAGGTGCTTTGAGCGCGCGGCGGCGAGTGAGCCCGCGGTCATTCGGGCGGCGACTGTGGGCGGCGGCGGGGTCGATGCCATCCTCGATATTGTGGAGGCGGCGGCGAGTGAGCCGGAGGTCTTGACTTCGTTGAACCCCGACGGTCCCAAGGTTTATGCGCATGTTGTCACGGGGACTGCGGTCGATGTTCCGGAGGGGGTCCAGTCAGTTCCTGTGAATGCGAGACAGATCTTCGAAGTCAAAGGCGGCGCGGTGGCCATGCCACGGCTGGGGGAGTTGTTGGCTGGGGGGAAGTATAAGATTCCCGTGCGCGTTGAGATTATAGGAAAGGGGTGGGAGGCTGTTGCGCGAGGTTTGGATAGACTTGGAAGAGGGGTGAGTGGAACCAAGTTGGTCGTGAGTTTGTAGTGCTTCAAGGTTGTTTCACGCCTTAGGACGAGTAGATTTGAGGCGGAATGGTTCGTGGCAACCCTCTCTCGCCTGCTTAAGCATTGCATTGCTCATGATCGGATGTACAGTAGACTCGACCACTGAAGTGTGAACCCCAGGACATGTGCTGAACTTGATTCCTCGAATCCTATCCTGTTGTTGTCTCTTGAGTAGCTCTCTATGAAAGAAGATAAAGATAAGACAAGGGTTAGCCCTGGCTACCGTATTAGGCAAGTGCCCCTCTTCCCAGTCCAGTTGCCGGGCCGAGCTGCCCCTCTTGGATCGACGTCAGCCAGCCTCACAACACTATCTCCGTTCAGTAGATATCATAGATCAGCCATTGATTTGTTTCAAGCTCAATTGCATCCTCGTACCCACACAGTTATAGCGTTTGCCACACATACCAATTCGTCAACACCATGTCCAAGAACGCGCAATCTAAGATTATTTCTAGAGGTCCATTGGTAAGGTTAACCAACCTCTCCCCCCCCTCCCGCGCCCTTCCCCAGCAACAAAGCCCAGACAACTCAGCTCTCTCGGTGACACAAACACACTCACCATGTCTCATATGTATCATTCCGATCAAGCCCGTCCAGCCCAGCTTCCCCCACTAAAAATAGCATCACCTCTCCGTAGGACCCCTCAGAAGCCAAATGGGCCCGACTGGTCAAAACTACCTACTCCGACCCTAACGGCGTCGAGCGCACCTGGGAATCTTCCGAAAGAACGGTGAGTTCCATCCGGACCCTCTTCTCCCCAAAAGATGATACCCTATCAGACTATGACATCGCTGACGGGTGGTTCCAGACTCGCCCGGAGACCTGTGAGATTGATGGCGTTGGGATCGTGACCATCCTCAACAAGGAGACCGGTCCAGAGCTGCTCCTGCAGAAGCAATACCGGCCTCCGATCGACAAAGTCGTCATTGAGGTTCCAGCCGGATTGATCGATGCAGGTGAGACGGTGGAGGAGTGCGCCGTCCGGGAACTCAAGGAAGAGACTGGGTATGTGGGTGTGGCGGAGCAAACAAGTAGTGTCATGTTCAATGGTGAGTTTTCGCTCTTTTGTTTTCTGCGGGGGGGTGGGGGATTCCATTCGGGTATTGAGAAAATGGAATGCGACGGCGCTCTCGCGGTGGTAATGGCTGATGCTGAACCTTTCTTCTTTCAAAAACTAGATCCTGGGTTCTGCAATACTAACCTGAACATGGTCCATGTCCGGGTGGATATGTCCTTGCCTGAGAATCAGAACCCCAAGCCGGAGCTGGAGGATAATGAGTTCATCGAGTGCTTCACAGTGCCCTTGTCGACGCTCTTTGACGAGCTGAAGAGGCTCGAGCGCGAGGGTTATGCTATTGATGCCCGCGTGGGCACGATAGCGGAGGGGATCGAACTTGCGAAGAGGTTTAAGCTTTAAGGTAGTTGTTGTAAGAGAAAGGCTTCGGATTTACAGATGGTCTACGCCCCGACGTTACGAAGCCCTCGAGGGTGCGTCAACGAGATGACGGCCCCCCTCCTTTTTAGCACGCAGAGAGATGGCATCTGCTGCCGTGGTTCTAGACTTCTAGAGTTTCCCTTCCTCTTTGAGTCCCCTGTACAGCGCCCATGCGGCAAGGGTCTTCCCATCGCGCGCACCTTCCTTCCATAGATCCTTTAATGGCACCACTTTCAGCGTAATCTTCTCTCCGTGCAGCCGTAGTCCGGTCAGCCTACCCTGCAGATTCTCGATCTCCTTACGCGGCATGCGCTTCTGGCACAGAAACAAAGGGATGAACTCGTCACTGCCGCCCGCCGAAGGATACACGGCCTTCTGCAGCGACTCTCCCCCCATCTCCTCTTCGTCTGGCCCGGCGGCGCCCGGCTCCAAGGCCAACGCCGTCAAATCGATCAGCTCCTCTTCCGGGATGGTCAGCCCTGTCTCCTCCTGGATCTCTTTGGCCGCGCCTCCCGCAAAAGACCCACTGTCATCCAACATGCCGGCGGGAATCTCCGTGAAGGCCAGCGATCCGGCCGGGATTCGAGGCTGGATGGTCAAGATGACGCGCTTTTCTTCTTCATTGGATGGAGGGACGTCGTCGGGTTGGAGGATGAGCTATGAGTTAGTTTTCGACGTATAGCGAATTAGTTCCCTCATTTTTGAGATGCGGTAGTAGAACGATGAAAGAAAGAAAGTAAGAAAGCAAACCATACCAGCATCCCCACACTGCCCCCGCGTAGGAAGACGCTCCCCGGAAGTGTCTCGCCGCTCCCATTCGAGACCTCTGCTTTCAGCTTGACAAAGCCCAACCGCCCACCGCCAAAATAGTCGACCGCCTGGATATTGATTCCGCGAAGGACGTACGGGTCTGGGGAGAACTCGTGGGGAGACTGTGGTTGTTGTTGGTGTTGCCGGCTCAACGACCGCTGCAGGGTGCTGAGCCAGATGCGAAAGGCGGGGAAGCGCAGCAGAGCATCGCGGCTCAGGTCTGCTGTGGACGAGACGGGGACGGTTTCGGAGGACGATGACGCACTGTGATGATAGAGGTCGAGGTCGAGGTCGAGGTTGCGAGGGATTGTGAAGCTGGATAGGGACATCTTTCTGGGTGGGAGGAATGGCCGTACTGGTTGATGAACCGTTCGTCGGAGGTGCACGGACAGCCACCGGGCGGCGGGCGTCATCAATGGATCGAAAGGGAGTCTACCGTAGCAGGGGGGGGGAGGGGTGGGTGCGTTGGTTGGTTGATAAGTTGGCTGTTTTTTGTCTCACTAGATTTGACTAATGGAATGATTGGATGCGAGGAGCAGGATGAGTGAGTAGGCAATATGTACACATGTACAGTACTTTTTCTCGTTTGATGAAAGGGAGAGCTGTTTTATGCTCGGGCGATAGATAAGTTAAGCTGTGTTATGTTGGGTTGTTTTGGCGGAATGACGTCGTGGTTGGAAGCGTCAACTGGTGGGTGGAAAAGGAAGGAGACTCTCGGAGTGAGGGAAGGAACAAAAAGGGCAAGAAGACAATCAACAACTCGACTTGACTTATCCAGAGTCACATCTTAGCCTCTTAATACTTCAGTTCTTTCTCTACTGTACCGTTCCTCCGGCCTTGACTTCCCCTTTCCTGGGATTCTTCCGAGATTGAATAGACAACAAACACAACGACACAACACCCCTCAAGACAACCGCCGCCAACAGCAACAGACTTCCAGCTTTAGCCTTCTGGGCTGGACTCTCTTTGCCTTTCCCCAGTCAACCAATCACTCCTGCAGCTCATGCTGTATCGTCCCCATTTCTACGGTCGAAGCTCCCAATAGTTAACTTACCGGGTCAAATGCTGCTCCTGGTCTGCTGCTCCGCATGGCTCTTCGCTTCTGCCTCGTCTCTGGCGGGGTCAGACCCGACAAGACTGACGGTCAGTGAGTGACTTGGTACGGAGGAGTGAGTGATTATTGAAAGGCTCCCTTCCCCGTCTTTCCCGTGACCTACGCTTTGTCCGAGAGCCCATCGCCTCCTTCACTCATCACTGTGTTTGCTTTCCGTCTGCTCCTTTCCCCCTCCGACTCCCTACTCAGCTAGGATTGTGTGCGTGTTAGGCCTTTTGCACCCGCCGCCGCCGCTTTCACAAGCACCACCGTTCGTGTCTTCTCTCTGCCTCTCTGCCTCTCTGCTCTTTCAGCGGTCTCTCACCGTCTTTATCACTAGCTATACTTCACGTTCTTCACAGTCTCATAATACCTTCGCCAGGAGGCTGCAACCTTATTCTACTTTGAGACGGCGCGGCGCTGTGTGAACGTATTTCTTTAGTTGAGGCCATGTAAGCCCGGTTGAGCTGAGCCCGCATCCAAGATCGTCCAAAGTTAATAGTCTGACTGCGTGCCAGAACTCCTGACCTGGGTCCGGATTCCATCCAAGTTTTGCTGGAACACGCTGTGGTTCTTGTTCTTGCCTCTGCCTCGCCTCGAGGATCCTTGCTCTCTCCAGAGCCTGTCTGTGGTCTCCGTTCAATCGAGACAATGAGAGGAAGATTGCAAAGGCCCTAGTAGGCGAAACGAGTCTCCTACGATTCTGCGATATCCGGAATGGTACTACCTCGAGTACCCCGCAAACAGAACAACCAAGCGTATTCGTGCTGCCTCTTTGAGATTGAATATCTATCGAGCTACAAGACCTGTAGGTCTTTGTTGAGAATCAAAGCAGTGAATAGGAGCAAGATCACGTGAAGAGGGCCTCTACCGACTCACACTGTCTATGTTATGTCGCCGCCTTGACTCGCAATTAATCAATTGTGAATGATGGTTGCTCTGCTTCGTCATATTTTCGGACCGAGCTGCACTGATCACTATGATGATGGTCATCTTGATCTGAACCGACCCGTTTCCCGTTTCTGGGTAATTATTCTTGATAGAACCCGAAACACGGCAGTGAATATCAAGTTCTGCTAAATATCGAGTACCCGGGCATGAGATCAGCTCGGCTTCTACATCTTCTTGACGTATGAACGTGCTAGAGCCCCTCTCGCTACCCACTGTGAACGTTGGCCAGGAAAGTTTTCTATACACTTTTCCAGTGAAGTCAACAATTCTGGCATCTGAAAGTAGCTTTTCCCTTAGTCTTCGTCTTCTTCTTAGAACCTCACTTCTACTGACTCAGCCCCCTTCCTGTCACTTCCTGTTCTTCCTACCTTATTTGACCCTACAAGTATCTGCAATTCCATTTGGATCTTCTTTTGGGCCTCGTCTGGCTTGTGAAGTGTGTGTACCGCGTTTGACTTAAACCACCATTTGCTAGGCCCAAGTGTTGTTTGCTTTACCGTGATCTCCAACAACAAATAACGTACGCGTTAGCAGGATAGCACAGTGTCGACCGACGATGGAAAGCTCACACCCTTCAATCGCAGAACCATGTAACATCATGAGTACATGGAGGAGTTACGCCACTTCTCCTCCTGACTCGCATTCGAACACTCAAGCCTCCCCTAACAGCCAGCGAGATTTCCACAATCCGTCCACCGAATCGAATCCTGGGGATACAACAATGTCTGGCTATGTCCAAACCCATGGTCACGAATTGAACAGTGGGGCTGGAGGCTTCATGTCTCAAGAGACCCCAGTCCTTCAGCCTCCTCTAGACTACACACGGGCTCGCTTGCCACCACGACGACGGCGGGTATACAATCAACTTTCAGTACAGCAGGAAAGAGTGTTTCTCAACCAGGCGCTCGACGGTTCCCATGCTACATATTATGCTCCCGCAACTGCTATGGTCCCGCCATCAAACCGCATGGGTACTCAAATGAACGGCCTTCAAGCGGGGGGCGTAATGGCATTGCAAAATCCGAACCCAACTCCAATGGAGCCTAGGACAAGCCACCAGGGACCTGTCGCACAGCCTCACTATTCGCCCTTGGCATCTAGAACTCTGCCGCAGACCCAAGGAGTTGTGTCGAATGGATCCGTGCATGGACCAGGCCAGCCACAACTGCAACAGCCGCAAACCATTGCTCGCATGCCATATCCAGTATCTGTCGCATTGCCCAGGAGTAATGTGCCAACCACGGCTGTCCCAATAACGGTACCAACATGGACACCCCAGTATGCGGCAGCTGTGAGGCCACTGCAGCCGCAGCCGCAGCAACAACAACAGCAACAGCAACAACAACAACGGCACAATGAATGGCCACCATGGGAGCCTTCGCCAAGGCCCGTTGCAGCTCTTCCGGCAGGGACACCTCAACTGACGGCGTATGGCAGAGTACCGCCAGGAGTGGTGAATGGAGCCGTAGCGATGCACCCTCCACCCAATCCTCAGGCCCGGGAAAGCGAGCTCCGGCGTTCTCAATTGATGCACATGATGCAGCGATCACCCCTTAATCCAGTGGATGCTCGAGCTATGCAGGAATATGCCCACAGCTTGAGCCGGAACCAACGCCTACGTCAACCTCAGGGAGCCACTCCCAATCCTCCTTTGCAGCCGGAGAAGAGTCTAGACAACCAGAACAACGGCCGCCCGGACCCGAAGGAGTCGGACGAGCTGAATGTCAACCTAGAGTGCAAAGTCTGTTTCACGCAATTGGTCGACACCGTCCTGTTGCCATGTGGCCACGCAGTGCTCTGCCGGTGGTGTGCAGACACCCATATGCCGAGTTGTCGGAATGACCCGACGCGCCTAGAGGGGGATCCGAGCTGTCCGATTTGTCGTGGGCCGGTGAAACACAAGGTAAGTCAGCTGAATAAAGGCATTCCTACAAGAAAACAGGGACCTTTTGTGTCCCTTCCCAAGACAAGCTTGGCTAATGTGATATCCAGGGCCGCATTTACTTTTCGTGATTATTGTTGTGTGGTTGGGTAAAGCCGCTGCCTTGTTTTTTCCCTGTCGTGTTGTTGCTGCATTTGGATAACGGCGTTCGGTATCGATGAAAGAATGAGATAACATGTCGCTGCACCAAGACCAGATATTAGGGTCGTGAGGTAGGTGAAGAAAGTACAGTACAGTAGAGTACTTGGCCTACAGATTTTCCGCGTCTGCTTTTGGGAGCTTCTTTTGTCGCTAGTCCCTGGAGACGCTCAGAAATAAAACTTGAAAAATTCAGATATCTCATTCCGGGTTTTTTGAGGAGTTACTCCAAGCCTCAGTCTTCTTGCAACTCGAAGTTGAAGTCAAGGTAGCTCCACCGTCTACCAAGTAAACCAACCCTATCCCTCTAACAAGCGAAGCTGTGATGTAACACGCACATCCCTAGCATAGAAAGATGTCCCTGAGGTCACGTTACGAACATCTGCAGCCACCGCATGGTAAGTTGGTAAGTTACCAGTAACTACTCAAACCAGAATAGTGCGGTAGTCCAGCTGCATGGCAGCCACCGTCCACCATACTAGACCATACTAGATGGAACCTGGAAAGAGCAAGAGCCAGAAAATAGCAGAGACCGGAACCAAACACCGGATCGAAAGAAGCTTCTTCTCACCCTGGCTTCTGTTTCCCCCCTTTGTTCCACCATCCGCACCGTAGTCTGCCAAATCATACCATTAGTTTTCTCCCCGATTGTCTTCCCGATGATTCCCCCGAGCCCGCTCCTGTCAACATGCCACGTCCGTCGGGGCCGCCTACCTTGATTAACTACTGAGAAGGGAGGTTTAAAAAGAAAGACAGGGAAAAAATCTCTCGTTCGGTTCGATCCGATTGAGGGAGGGCCTTTCATTGGCAGATCTGAGGAATGCTTGGGCTTGATTCTGTCATCGGAGATCTCTCGATTCGACCCTCGGACCCAGTCTCGTAGACGACTGGTGAACATGTGTCGTGCAACTCGGTCTTCAAGACTTCTACGAGTAAGTTAGTCTATCTGTCACTGCTTGTCACTCTCACATGTGTTTCGTTGTCCAATTTTCTTGTGCCAATTTTCTTGTGGTATACCTGTCATTGAAGGACGGTCCAGACCCTGGGGCATGACTCAGTGTGCTGTGTGTGTGTTCACCGCTGGGTCTCGCTCTTCTCAATCTGTCCATTTCAATCGTCGAGGTCCCTTTCCTTCGTGTATGTATTAGGTAGGAGGGATGCATCAGTTTCAATTGCATCCGCGAACCCCCACTTGGTAAAGTTGACCCCATTTCTTGCTTGGCTCAAATAAACAAGGCTGCTTAGCTCGGGCTAATCTGTCTGTTTTGTCCGCCTGTCATTTCAGTCAGTCTAGCCAGCCAGTCACGATCAGCAATAGACAGGCAGTATGAAGATCGCGGATTGGTTTCTCCATCCTGTTTCGGTTTTGGCATTTTTCTTGCCCTTCCACCCCCCGGCGGATTTCCTGGAAATTTCCTCTCTTTGATCTGATCAATACCCACTTGCCGCTGTTCCCCGCTCACGCTGTTCCTGGATCTTTCTCCTGGAGCTCTCGAAATACATGTTTCCCAGCTAAGTTGCAAGTTTAGCGCTGAACTTGTTAGCAAAAGTCATGCTCCGTAGTCTTCAACTGAACTTTTGGCCATGTTTTGTGCCCTCCTGTCGCGCACATGCTTGAGTCGGTTGCGAGGTTCTGTCCGATACAATGCATGTTAAACCACACTGAAAACAAGACCAGCCCACTTCCACTACCCGGGCGTTGATCCCGACCTCTGCCAGATAAATCGATAGTATATGCGATGTTGTGAAGGAAGGGGAGAGAAAGTTTCGAGCTCTAGCCACGCGACAAGGAAGCTGCGAATATCTCCGAGTCGGTCCGACGAGGCGGCACAGGCAGTAGATCCCGGTTTAGCGAAAGATCTATGATTCTCTCTTTCGCGCCTGTATCCTAGTTTCTCGTTTTCCTATCCTTAATTGATGTGTTCTCAATCGCTTGTTGCATGGAAGTCGGATTAAGCGACATCGCTGCTGATCGAGTTAGAAGTTGGTAGCAGCCCATTAGGGCAGGATTGGCGAGTATGTAGCATGTAGCACGTAGCATGTGGCGGGAAGCCATGCTAAAGACAAGATACTCGAAAACGCCACGTAGGGGACATGGAGTGTAGTTGACCAATACCTCGGAATTGAGTTCCAGATTGCCGATAAGAGAAAGTCCTTTTCCGTGCCACCCAAAGACTGAAGTTCGTAGCGAGAAAAAGGTCTCCTGGGCGAGGGTCTTTTTTAGTTGATCAAACTGACGTGCCATATGCACGCGGGACTCTCGAACCAATAGCCGGTGTTGGATTGGCACGAAGTAACTGCTGTGGCTGATTTGGAGACGGATGAGATCCCACGAATGAAATTGCTTGGAAGCTCTCGGTCTTAGTATCGATGCTGGTGCTAATGCAGTTGTAATGGGTTGGTAAGTTGACACTGCAGGGTTGCTTTGCATTTATCGTGTTCGGCATCGTTGTTGTTGGGGCTTCAAGGACTCAAGTTGAAGTGTAAGGAAGAGAGAAAGAAAATTCATGTACCGCAGTCGGGAAGATGTACAGTATAGAAAGGCTAATTGGTAAGCTCTTCCTCGTTCGCCGAAGCTCGAGCTCTTTCGTCCATAGCCATGAGTCGTCAATCGACGTGGCTTACATGGTTGACACTAAGGGGTAGGGTCAGGGGTATCATCGGCTGTAATTTTAGCGAGGAGGGGTTGTTCGCCTTTCCCCTGGTCGAATTGTCATCTACTCCGTTAGGAACAAGGACCGATTTTACTCATGATGGTTGGTGGGTTTTTGAAGTTAATGAACAATCTACTCCGTACTCATGTAGGTTCATGTGCAAAGAAAGGTTGCGCCAAGGAACGGCAATGCACATGGCCGGGTATGGGCCGCATTGGTTTAAGGCAACCACCAGACTCGTTGCTTGGGTGGCTTGTCAAGGAGTGAGGGAATAGCTACTGTGGGAGCAATGAGTTTGCGCTGTCACCATAGGTCATTAGGTGTGTTGATCACTCTTGGAGAGAAGACTAATGGTTCTTCTGTCAGGATTGTTGGGAGAATCGAAGTACTGGTGATTACCATGCAGATAAATATGGGTTAGAGAACCACTGAGGCAATCCCGAAACTAGTGATGCTTCAGAGGATAGTCTCAAGAACTGTCTCAATGCAAAGGAGAAGTCGACAGTGAGTGCATTGCGAGGATATAGCGGTATAGTCGGTTGCCTTGGTTCGGTGGGTCGTACGGCAGTAGTCACCAACTGCATAAACAGTACCAAGTAGTTACTGTACATACTGCATGCAGATCAGACCTGCTGCTGAGCGAAAATATGAATCGCAGTTTTGTGCGCGATATCGATATAGAAAGACAGATGAGTATGATCTCACAAAGCTATTCACTGGATTAGCATAGATCCAAGCACAAGAAGGAGGTGGAGAAGAGATCCATGATACCCGGTGGGAAGGTTTGTTATTTTGGGTGATGGGAGCCGGGTCCACCTTCGACAGCAGATCGCTCGGCAAGCACGAACGAAGCATGTACATGTACAGTATTGTCCGGGGTACCTACTGTAGAAACCGTACTTCTATCGAAGTAGCTAGTTACCTAACTAATCATGTTACGTAAGTTGAGCACGAAGAAACTGGCAGACTGTCCCATAGTATATAAAGGCTCCTGTACTATGCAGATGCATGTTTCGTGTATGTTTTATTTCAATACAGTAATCCGAGGCTCGGATTTTAGTTCTCTTTTAGAAATGAACTAACTGAATTAATGTACAGGGTACTTTAAAACTGTAAGTATTGTCTCCTTTCGATGTCAACGCACTTTGCTTCCGGCTCTGGCCCAATGCCAATCAGGCAGATAACTCTAATTGATAATCGCGCACTGGCAGGCCGAAGCTATAGCATGCCTAACTATAGTCAGGCATCATTAGGATTCGAAAAGAGATTCTCGTGTCTGACACCTACACTATACGAGCTAGTGGAACCCCAAATAACCCGAAGACCCAAAGACCAGGGCTGATACGCTCAGACCAAACTGAGTGCAGATGACAAATGTGTTTCCAGGCTCTCTTACGAATGACAGATAATTAAGTGAAACTATTCATGGCCAGTATGTTCCACCATTGAATACGACTATTTTCCGTGAGTGGTCGGCGGCTCGGACTGCAAGTGTTCACTAGGGCACCGCCAGCCTTATTAAAACAACCTGAGATATCAGACCCCGAAATCGTGAGGCAGCAGCTTCAATTCTCATTTGTTGAACGTGGCGCGCTGATCATGGTCGAATCTATCCTCACGCGATACCTGCCCGGGCAAAGGTAGTGTAACCGACGATGTTTATGGTGGCACGGCGTACAGCTTCGAGGATGCTAGCAGCCTTCATCCATACAGTCTCGCCGGTACCGCTTGACCTTGAATCTCATCGAAAGCCAGGATTGTGCACGTATGAGCGACCCTAACACGACTATCTCGCAAAGATCGCTGTTCATGTCTATCAATAGACCGAACAAGCGGTGTCCATGCAAGGGTAAACCCGATTATTAGGGACGAAGAGAACAACCCTCCCCTCCCCCCCCTTCCCCAGAGGAAAGGTCCGGAGGACGGCTGTTGCGGCTCCGCCAGGTGTAAAGTCCTGCTAACTTGAAGAAAACGAAGAAGCCGGGTCATCATCAGCAATGTGAGTCGGATCGTTGCAGAGGCCCAAGAACACCGGCGGAGATTTGCATACGTGAGACCTTTGAAATCGACAATAATTCATGATTCCATCGCCGGGAAGCCGATCGAGGCCAGGATTCAGCCGTCAAATCATCAACTCGTCGATAAATGGACTGCCATGGCGATAAGCAGTCTGGCCAGGAAATGTGGGTCAGTGGCGAAGTATCAACGATTTCGCGTGGAAAGGTGTTCGAGAAAGCCCAAAGTGCACCCTATGACGCAAGGGCAGAGCCATCATCATT